TCCGGTGATTTCATGTAAAGTTGTGTCTATACTAGTATTTTCTGTTTGTCTTCATGCTTTCGATTTTCTGATCCTGCGAAAAAACTATAAAAAAGCGCACTCCCACAGCGACCCGGACTCAAAAAAAAAGACCATCCCGATCATGGTCTTGGGCTCCTGATTCCTTCATGGCGGTTTCACATGGACCCTCTGGGTATTCAGACTTCCATGCTAAAAGAAAACCTTGCAGTAACCCTTGTCATCACACGTTTCGGAAGCCTTACACGGACCCTTCAAAGGAACCTCATCCTTAGCTAACCTCAGTGTTAGCTAATTTTTTCAGGCTTCATAATCCTCAACTTGCTTTGGAGTTTACCGTCCCTACCTATAGTCTCCATTGTAGTTCCTTTTTTTGGTTTAACCGATTTTATATTAAGGATCCCAAAAGGTAACCCCAAAAAGGAACTACAATGGAGACTATAGGCAAAGCCCAAACCCGCTGCCAGAGGTCCGGGCCTTGGCATTGGCGATCACGGAATTCCCACCTCCTTCCATGTCGATGGTCGTGAATGCCAGCGGGTCCTTGGCCCTAAAGCTTCGATCGGGGTTAGGGTCGCCAGTGCTTCTACTATGGCCCCGAACCCTATAAACCCTAAACCCTCGAATCCTGTTGGGTTTGGGGTTTAGCCTGAATACAGGGACCCCGTACTTGCATAGGGAACATACGGGGATACTATTGGGGGGCTTTCCAACCTGTATATACAGTATTGGTCTCGAGAGAACCCAGGGTGGCTTGGGGTTTGCACACGGTTTGGATCCACAGCCCTAGCCGCACTTGAATTCTAAAAAGAACCACGGAAAGATATCTTCTTCCCTCACAATGTCTGGAAAGCCACAACAAATCAAGCAAACAAGTTCCCTTTCTAGAGCATAGAAATACCAAACAAGCGTAATCAGCATTGTGACCGCAAAGATAGACACATATAAAATCAGTCGCAAAAGGTAACAGCACTGAAATAACCATACTAGTCAACGTCACCATCGTAGTAGTACTCGTGACTAACAAGTTCATGAACAAGAAGACGATGAGGGGGATCGGTTCAAGAGTTGATACTGCAATAACAGTAGTAATCATAAAAGTAATAGTATTCTTTAGTCTGGCCTGTTGGGTCATCCTCAAGATCTGGACCCGGTTTCGGGCAGCTGAGTTTCGACACAATGCTGAATTTTCCTGTCATTTATTGCGCAGACTCGGCTGAATTTAGTGTTTAGGTTGTATACGGTAAAGAAGCTATTCTTATGCGGCGTAGTGCTCAGGATTTACGCTCTCGCAACTCAGTTCGGACAAGCGTCCCACATTCCGGGTTTAGTCTAGGGGCAGAACAGGGATAATTTCCAGCCGCAAACACCACAACAGCAACCAACATCATGCATCAATTGCCGAGTGCACCCTTCAAGTCCTGCATCCCACGGCGAGCATATCTCCGGATTGTTTTCCACCAGCGCTTCACTCCGATGAGCAGGTGGGAATGTCAGAGGGCATCAGGGACTCTTGCACGCGCAGCAAAACTGCAGCTTCAGTTCTTCTGGCAGTGAAAGGAAGAATACCTACACACTCACACACACACACACAGACACACTCTGACACCTGCACCTACACCTCAAACTGGACTACAGACCTGTTGTGCGCCAAGTGTTGTGCACAAGTCATGACAACTCAAGAGACAACTAGCCCGAAATAGCTTCAGGGATTGTCGCCTCGTCTGCGGAGACGTATTTGCCTGAGCAAGCTGTGATCCCAACAGCTTTGTTTGAGATGGTGGCATTGCTGCATCTGCGAAGGGACTTAGGACTTATGGTCTGCAAGCCGCCACGAGACACTCGCAGGAAGCAACTTGTCGAGACTTTTTTGGACACGTACTGCCGCTCTCAGAAGCTGATACTACACCAATTATCTGAGCCAGGTGAGGAGACGCTGTCATTTACAGACAGGCCCGCTCATATTTCAGACTTGATACCAGAATCCTGATTAATGTTATTCGAATTCTGCAGCTTTGTCTGACAGCCATCGTGTCCGATGTACACCAGGAGTACTGTTTTGTACACTGTGACTGCTGCCGCAAAGCACAAGAACACTTGAAGGGATGCATACAGGTCTCGACCGCCGAAATCGAGAAGGAACCGCGCGACGATAGGAGCGCAAAACCTGCTGATGCAAATCCCGAAAATGTTGTGGAAGCGGAAGACCTCGACATTGTAGCTGGTGCCCTTTGTGGCTGCACGGCATGCCCACGCTTCAGCAATGCCATTTGCTACACTCGCCCCGCCATAGACGATGATATCAGCGATGATCAGACTTCCAGCTCCAAAGAAGTTGAAGTCAAAAAGGAGGATCGACCCACAAAGCCCCAAGAATGACATGACTGCGAAAGTGCCTGCCTCAGTCAAGAGCCCGTGCGAGATGGCGAATGCGGCGATTGCCGCAATGAGCCCACTCCCCAAAGCGATAGCCACAAAGGAGAGACCGCTAAGCTCTGTAGACCATCCATACAAGACCTCCAGCAGCATGATCGTGGCAACCTCGATAGCAGCAATGGAAAAAGCACGCTCGTAGGAGTAGAACACCATGTTCCACACCATCTGCTCACGCGATGTTGCTGGCAACTCTTCAGGATGAACTTGGTCGCCTTCCGCTGCTTTGTCTGCAAGGTCATTGGCTGGGCTGTGGTGTTGAGAAACTTGGGTTGGGAAGATCATCATCGCAATGCTCACTTCCACAATCTGCACGAAGAACAAACCCATGAAGACCCAGCTCCTTGGCATTCGCACAGGGGTGGGGTGTGTGTGGGGGGGGGGGGAACCCCCAGAAGCTTCCACTTGCTGCTTCTGGTCAAAGGCCTTTGCATAATGATGGCAACTCGCACTGAAGATGTTAGTTCTGAGGCAGGTGATGGTGGTGATGACAACCACGCGGGTCGTCACAGCTCTGGCGGTATAGGCGAAATGGGCTGAAGAATGGTGGTGGTGATGTTAATGTCGATAGTGAAGAAGAAGAAGAAGATGCTTGCACTGTTATTCATGTGCACTGCATCCTGGCCCACGGGAGCGGCAAAAGTGTTCGATGTGTTGTTGGTGACTCTCTTGACTCATTCATCACACACACAAAACTCTCATCGTCAGCAAGACCGAGATAGCCGCTATCGTCCTCGTCATGTCAGACTGCTGTGGGACTCTGCCATCACAATCATTATCTTGTTACATGGTCGTCATCACATACATCACAGTGACATTCAAAACTGACATCAACATGGCCGACATCGGCCATCCGATCAGCACTACTCTTAAGGTGACGGTCAGACACCGCAGTAGGTTGCTGGCACTACCAGCAATCTGGCTAGTAGCCCGGCTGCTGGGACCGTTGCTGCAGTTCTCCCTTGTTCAACGGCTGTTAGAGCGTCTTTTGCAGGATCGGACTGGTTCCTAGGGTTGTCAGATCGAGTTACGGCTTGCATGCTCTAGTTCGGGTCATTACTATTTACTGTGGACCAGTGACTCGTCCTGTTCTAAGGATGTGGGGATGAAATCAAATTCAAACGTGGTTTCGCGGACCACGGCGATTGGCATTGCTGTGGCTATAGTTCTGCTGCAGCACTCCTGTTCAGAAGCTGCGTTCGGGATGCACACAACAACATGCTCAATATGCACCAGGAGACATCATGCATATGGGAGACACGGCCAGGCCACCACGACGCGAGCGAAGTAAGTAGCTGATCAGGGCAAAGCCCGCCGGACCCAACACAAAACCACCATTCTTGGCCAACTGGGTCCTTGCTGCTTAGGATTAGGGCACTGGGGTTCAAGCCAAAAGGCTCAACTTTTCGTAGTCCTTTTTGGATTAATAGAGATAGCGACAAACCAAAATCGTTTCCAGCTGGCTTGCTGCAAGCATCAACATGCTCCAGAACGTCTTCTCCTTGTTTGGTGTAAGGATATTCCACATCGTCATCCACGGCAGAATCGGCACATTGGCAAACGATGTGCTCAGGAAGTTCATGGCGATCACTAGCCAATAAGCGTATTGCTTGGCTGACATTTGCCAGCCTTGAGAGACCTGGATAAATAATGCAGTGCCAGCCATGGCAAGTGTGGAGATGCTGTAAGAGATGATGAAGCATCGGCGAGCATACCGCTGGTTCCAGTTTTCTTCGCTTGTGAGCTTGCTGCCGGCAATGAGACCCACCATTGCACCAACCGGCCCGGTGCCAATGAAGACTCCGCTACTTGTGGCAGACTGCCCCATGGCGAGCGCAAAATCCAAGGAGACGGGGATAATCATCGAGCCGGCGATGAAGGGCACGAACCAACTGACAAGGAATCCGCATTGCAGCAGCACTGAGTTGGCCCCATCACGGTTTGACAGCAGCGGCGTCGCACCCGTCTCCACGTACAACTCATGCAGCAGAATGAAGCAGACAAAAACGAGCGCCACAACGATCGTGCTGAAGCCGATGGGCACTACTATGTCTGAGAAGCTCGAAGGGCTGATACGGTCCGTGAGAGGTCCTACACTGCCCTCCTGGAGGGTGAGTTGGAGGCTCGATTGAAGAAATCCAGCACACCAAGCGCCATCCTCGAAGACCAAAGTCTCATCAGCCATGTGAAACAATACGCACACGGGGTTTCGGTACGGTGAAAGTTAAAGCATGTCTAGACAAGTCATGCCTTGACAGCCAAAACTGCGAAGCACATGGGGAACAAGCACATGGTTGGCATAACCACAACGCCAGTCTCCGAAGATGTAATTCCAAGTGATACCTTCTGGCCTTGCGGCAGCTCGCTTCAGTTACTTCTACAGATTGCCAGAAGCCTCAACGTCGTCAGGAAGCTGCGAGGGATTACATTTACTTTCTTTCTTGCTCCTGACATCGGGCAATGCTGTTCTGTGGCTCGTCTGTGAAGACCTCCGCGCCTTCGATTCGACGAGGCGAGGTCCAGAAGAAGCCCACATCCTAAAAGGTGGCCGATGTAAAGGGTTGACGGCTTAATATAGGGGCCTTACTAATTAAAAAGGCCTGGGGGTATTTTATACTATAGTTAGAATAAGGAGCCCCCAAAACCCTGATCCGATTATTAAATGCCCCTATAGTACTCTACATGCCCCAGGATGGGGAAGCTTGGCTTGGATCGACTCAGAAGTCTTGTTCTGACGCTAGGCGCCAAGCTCTAAAGCCTGAACTTAAGCCTTACAGCATCCCTAAACCCTAAACCCTAAACCCAGTACCTTACAGTATACTTGGACTAAGCCCTAAACCCTAAACCCTAAACCCTAAACCCTAAAGACTAAGGACTAAGGAACCCTTGGGAAGAAGAAGAAGACGAGCAAACATTCAGGCTTCTATAATACCCTGAGCATCCCAGTTTCAAGCCAGGCCGAGCACGGAAGACGCAGAGTTTGGGGTTCTTTAAAGGGGTGTAGGGTTTAGGGTTTAGGGTTGTTTAGGGTTTTTTTTGTTTTGAGGCGGGGGTTTAGGGTTTAGGGGTTCTTTAAAGGGCGGTTTAGGGGTTTAAGGTTGTTTAGGGGGTGTAGGGGGGTTTAGGGGTTTAGGGTTGTTTAGGGTTTAGGGTTTGGGGTTTGGGGCTTTAGGGTTTTAGGGTTGTTTAGGGGTTTAGGGTTTAGGGGGATGTAGGGCTTAGGCTTAGGTTTCGGATTCCCTTCTTTGGAGTCATGGTTGGGTTTGGGGTTTAGGGTGTAGGGTTTAGGGTTTAGGGCTTAATGCCTATACTCTTCAACTTGGTTGGTGTTCGCTACCTGCTTGGAATTGCTGTCCCATGCAGCGATCTGTATCAGTTCAGCCATATACTCCTTGCGTATTTTCTATGCTCGCTTCGTATATGTGGGTTCTGCTTGGAGGCACAGGGGACTTAGTAAGTCGGTTATAAGTAGGGTTATAATTGGGGTAGCTCCATTTAGGGTACGTATAACTCTACGTATAGTAGACTGCTTACTAAGTCCCCTGGGCCTCTAAGATAAGTAAACCCTAAACCCCTAAACCCCAAACCTAAACCGCAACAACTAAACCCCCAAACCCCCAAACCGCCTAGCCCCTAAACCCTAAACCCAGCTACTTACTAAGTCCCCTGGGCCTCCAAGTAGAACCCTAAACCCCTACACCCCTAAACCCTAAACCCAACTACTTGCTAAGTCCCCTGGGCCTCTAAGTAAACCCCTAAACCCCGAAACCCCTAAACCCTAAACCGCAGCAACTAAACCCCCAAACCCCTAAACTGCCTAACCCCTAAACCCTAAACCCAAGTACTTTCTGAGTCCCCTGGGCCTCCAAGTAGAACCCTAAACCCCTAAACCCTAAACCCTAAACCCTAAACCCTAAACCCAACTACTTACTAACCTCCAAGTAAGGTGTTAGCCCCGCAGCAGTCTTCGGCCAGGAGTGGCTGCAGTCGCTCGCGGAGGAGCAGAAAACCTTACGCTCCGTGAAGAGCACTCAGGCAGGATCCCTAAGGCCAGGCGTCAAAGGAACCTAATATACATATACACATATATATATATATAGATCGATAGATATAGATATATATATATATATCTGTATATAGATATATGCTCTCCTAATGATCAACCTACATAACTACTATCCCAAACTCAAATTATCTACGTCTTGGGTCCTTTGGACCCTTCTGGGGGTGTTGGTGCCGTCTGGGCCTTAGGTTCGTCGCTGGACGTGTAGTTCAGGGCCAAAAAGGTACTTGCCAGTCTTCTCCACACCCTACGCCTAAAGCTCCGAGAGGCCCAAACCCCTAAGCCCTATGGGCAGTTCTCTAAATTGGGGCCCCAAAAGGATACCAAATATAGTGCGGCACCCCAAGGGGACCCTAGTTTAGAGAACCACCCCTATCAAAGCTCTAGATAAGCTACTCGTTTCCGGTTCTTTATTACTCCAAAAGTAAGAATCTCTAGAGAAGCTCTTCTGTTAGGGCTCCTTATTATGATGCCGTCCCTATAGAAGTTCTAAAACAAATGTGGGTTTCTAGCCCAGAGGCTCCATATAGACTACCATTCTGGAGTTCGGCCCCAAAAGACCATGCTTATCATGGCTTTGGGGAGCCTACTTCCATAATGGTAGTGTATATGGAGCCTCTACCTAATGACCCTTAAAAGTAGGGGCCCTGTATCCTTGTACTATGAATCATTATATGGTATATGAACCCTAAACACTTTTAGGGTTCATTTCGTCCTTAAGGTAGGTAGGATCCAGGTAAGTCCAAAAGAGCCGAACTCAACCCTCGAGCCTCCCGGAAGGGTTCCTTGTGCCTTTAAGGCTCCTTCAGGGCTCCTTTTAAGGGTTTCTACGAAGGGGTTCTATGGAGGCTTATAGGGTTTAGGGTTTAAGGCTCCGTAGAGCATAGAGAGAAGAAGTTTAGGGTCTTTGGGGCTCTTTACTCTGAGGTTCGGGCCATCTAGCTTGGGATTTTTGGGGTTTCGGTGTTCTTAGGCCGTTTAGAGCCTGCATAGGAACCCCTTCCGAGGCCTAACCCTAAAGTTAAGAGCACAGGGAGGGTCCTGGCGCCAAGCTTTCCTCCGCTGCCGCTTCTTGCTTCCAGGCGACGAGGTTCATCCTCGCTGTAGCAGTGCAGATATTCCGAAGTGAGGTTTATGTACGTTTTGTTTCGGGCTGTCTGTTCGCCGGTCGGGCCTTTGATCGGGGTCCTACCCTAAACCCTACACCCTGTATATGAACATCCACGAACTGCCTCCGAACGTCCGGAGCCAAGGCCAATTTGCCCTGATAACCCTAAACCCTCACAACCCTAAACCCTACATAAACCGTGAAGGGGTTTGGAGCCCTGATGCTTTATGGGCCCGGGGATGTAGGGCCTAGGGTCTAAGCTTTTAGGGTCTACCCTAAACCCTAAACCCTGCTTTAGGTTTTAGGGTTTAGGGCTTTAGGGGCTTCAGGATTTATAGGGCCATTTAGGCGGGTCCGTGTTTGCTCTGCAGTTGGTAGTGTCGGACGTATATTCCTAGACCCCGGACAAACTGAAGGACCCCGCAGCCCAAAGCCCAAAGTACCCTCAAAGAATCGCTCTGACTACACATCAAAAGTCTATGCAAGCCTCGCAAGAAGCCTTCCGTAGACACGAAACACTTTTCTCAAATTTGTTGCGAACCTTCTACACACCCTTGGCCCATGCTTCGCGTCTACATGGTTTCCGGAGACGAGCTGGCTGCCATACCGGTCGCGACCGTGAGCGACGTGCGGGAGTTGAAGCAGCAGTTGCTGTGTTCGCATTCAGCAGCTTAGTGTAGGGGTGTTGTTGGACTGTGCTGAAGGGTAGCATAGGGTAACTACCGAATGAAAATGAATGGAACCCTTTATGTTTAGAGGTGAAGGTCTAGGCCCTGGATAAGTAGTCGAGTGATTTCTTCTTTGCAATCCTGGTGTTTCTAAATAATATGGGAGCCCTACAGAGTAATAGTACTACTGATCATTCAGACTTGTATACACAGAAAGTCACCAGAAAAGAGACGAGCACATGTAATTATCACTTAGTTTTTCTCCTGAACCCTACGCCCTGAGCTCCATGTCCTATGACTGCCCTAAAAAAAAACAAGACTGACCGAAACCCCAACTCCTTTTATCAAGAACCGTTCAAGCCTAAAGGCCCTTAAACACTCTAACACCCACAAACAACCGTACACAACCCCAACACAGGGGCCTGAAGAATTAGAATATAACCATGTTCCGTAAGGGTTCCTTACTCCGATATGCTATCGGAATTATACTACAAAATCGAAATCCTGTTCGAAATATATTAGGAGGCCCAAAATTAAGCTTATTAAAGTACCTTTACAACCGCACTCTCCATCTGCCCTCTTTGAAAACCTCGATTGCCACTACTCAGGGCACATGCACCCCTGTTGCGTATACATTGGGCATTATGTGGTGTGTATTAGTAAAACTAAACGGGATGATTAATATTAACAACAAGAGTTGTGTTATGCATCTAGGGGCGCTGAAGAAACAGAGGGTTTCTGCTCAGATCGCAGGTTGCAGAAGCACTGCGGTGTCCCACGATTTAGGCAGAGGCTCCTGCGAAATGGGCAACTTGGTTCTTGGAGGACTCAGTGGCCGAATGAGTGCACTCTACACTTTTGTTGGGGATATATAATGTTAATACTACACCTTACAGAACCGACAAAGCACTTTTTTTTTTTTTTGGGGGGGGG